CCCCGGACCCACAGTGACTTCTTGCAGGAGAGCGCAGGGAGAAGTTTGGTGCAGACGGTGTTACCGCCATGGCTGCCTGCTTCTCTGTGCGTTTTACCCACCATTCCCATGTAACAAGGACACATTTTTCTCAAGAAAACTGAATTCACTGGTGGGATTTGAGGAGTTCTCTGGAGCGCCAACAGCTTGCTCTATCTTGTGTTTCTAATCTCAGTTATCTCCAGAAGATGCTCTTTTGTTTTCAAATAGTTCTGGATACTTTTGCTGTTTCTTGCCCTTCTGAGCGAATAGTGTAGGACAGATGCTTGTTATTTCAAGGTCAAGATGAGAAGAGAAATCTCATCTCATCTTGACCTTGATGGGGACAGAGAAAGAGTGAGATTCTCCCCCAGAAAGGCCCTCCTTCCAGTTTCTGCTCAGTTTCTAGGCCTGAACCTCTGCCTGAGCTCACCACAGCTAATCTGTGCAGCTTCTGCTCTACTGTGTGTTTATTCATGGAGAAAAATAAGCTTCCTTTCTGCTATATTTTATAACCAGAAATAGTATCTGGTATTCAGCAATTCTTAACGCTATCATTTTTCCCATCTCCTACTACACTTTTACTGATTTTTTTTATTTCTGATTTGTACAAATAGATACTACAAGCCAAGATTATATTGAATCTGATCAAAACTTTTTTGAATTGATATTTTAAGAGTAACTGATGATTAAACTTTTCCTACCATGTAAGGGTGAAAATAAGAAAACAAATTTAACTCAGATGAGTAAACTGCAATTTGTTTACTGAAAATACTGCTGAATAGGTGCAGCTAGGATTTGAACAGACAGAAACTTGGGAACCCCCAGCAGTGGGGAGTCAGCAGTGTCCCTGAGATCAGAGAAGAGGCAGGGGAGAAGTTCCTGGAGCCCTGTGAGCATCAGCTACTTGGAGGAGATGTTGTCCAGGGAGCCCACCATAGTGGCACGTGTGGCTACCACGGAAGACTCTTGCTCTGTGTTAGGAAGCCTGAGTAACTACACTCTCCTGACTGCAGCCTCCTAGTCTCCTGCCAGTGCTAACCCAGCACTGAATCCCAGCAGAAGCCCAGGTGTTAAGAAGGGTAAAGAGGCAGTGCAAAACATCGGCTGTCTGTGACACAGGACAAGGAAGAGGAACTGAGGAACCGGCCTGAAGAAGGTGAGCAGGGTAGGTAGTACTCCAGCCCTTCTGAGCTTACCTTCTGCTACATCTTAGGACGACCTTGACCTTTCACTGTTTTACATTTCCCGTAACTTGGTCATGGGTGCGCTGTCCATCCTCATCTCCCTGGAAACACGCCTTGCTTCCCCGATGCCCTAACAGGCACCTCTGTGCAATGTCCGAGACTCCTCCCTCTGTCTAGGGCGCCGTCCACTCTTCTCACTTAGCATCTGCTATTTATTCTTTCTACAACAGTGCTCACATTTGGCCTCAGTTAATTATTGTTTTCCCATTCTTCTTTCCATCGCCTACAAAAAGAAATTATCTTTGTCATCCTTATATCGATATAGCTGTCAATGATTACTGGTAGGTGGAAAGTGGCCAAAGCAAATTTTATAAGTGAATAAAGGAGATGGTGTGGGGTTGAGGGCAATTTCTCCAGGAGAAAAGGCTGATAAGCAGCAAGCAAGCAAAGCAAAATAGGAGGTAGGGAAATTAAAACATAAGTGATGGTCTAAGTAAGGACAACATAGAAAGCTTAAAATAATAAAATAAAAATAGGATTGCATTACAACTTTTATATAGCAGAAAATTATTAAAATGAACTGCAAAAGCTAAAATAAACACGTAAGAAGTTATGAAATTCAAATAAAATAGAATTCATATATATTCTCTGCAATGAATAAAAAATACAATTTAGAAATGGCTTTTATTAAGGTATAAGAAATATTTTAATGCTAATTTATCTTTGGGTTCCTTGACTTAAGCTCCTTTTGTTCATTAACCTTTCTAAATTAAGTGTGGAGTCATGTTGGCACTGATTCAACACTTTCTACCCACATTTTGTCTTAGCAGCCAAACAAAGTTTACATTTAAACTTGGTATTTGCCTATAGTTAATAAGAAGGAGAGAACATATGCTGTTGTATGATGGCTCTGATGAATAATTTTCCCTTATTTCTAAAAATATTAATGGTATTTAAAGAGTGACCCACTCATCTAAAGTTTAGATAGCTCAAGGGAAATTTTTGAAGTATTTCTTCACACTCAGAATCATTAAATATGAAAGAACATATGTCTATTCAAAATCCATAGTACTCATTTTGTTAAAATTTATTGTACATAGTGCAGCCAAGAAAGTACACTTTACTAATTTGTTAGCAGTTCATTTACATAGCTACCATTTTCTACATATTTCTTAAGTGCAAGATGAAGAAAGAAAATGAGAAAGAAGTGAAGGGAAGGAAGAAAGGAAGGAGGGATGGAAGGAGCTAGGGAAGGACATTTCTTTTCCAAGGATGGAGAGACAGAGAGAGGAGTGAGGAGTTTCACCAGGTTTTCTTATTTAGTCACAATAAGACTAACAGATTAACAGACACAGATAACAGACACAGAACACACACCGATCCCAGGAGGGCATCACATCACACCACAGGGCACTCACAGGCAGACACAGGCTCCGACACTCAGGAAACAGAAGGAGAGGGAGGATTTGGAGACAGAAACATGTACTGTCATTTCCCCATAGGAAATAGGGAAGGCACATTTAGAATTCAGACTAATTTGAATTACAGTACTCCAGCTTTCTCCAGTCAGAAAGCTATCTATGGTGTCTAGTAACTGACCCTGGAGGAAGGGAAAGTAAACTGTAGCTCAGAGAGTGAGAGCTCAATCCAGGATCTCTTCTCAAGTTCACGATCAAGACTGGATGGTACCACTGCAGGTGCATTCACGTTCATGGGTGAGTTGTGTACTGTTTTTATAAATCGGCTCATTCTGAAGTGAGCTGACTACCTCCAAGGTCAGGAGCCTCTAGATACTGAAACGCATTGTACTATAGAAGATAAAAGGCATGGCTAGTCCAAGAAGAAAGGAAGGAACACAAGAAAAAGAAAAGAACTTTTATTCTATAATAAAGTCAGTATACAGAATAACAGCAACAATAAACTAGTACCCACGGTGGAAGAAAGATGTCAATCTTTCACAGATTTTCCTTTATAGAGAAGTGTTATAGATTATTTGGATTGCAAAGAGACTGGATGAAAATTCTGACATTTAACAATAGTGGCTGAATTTTCTTGGAGATTTGTATTCCTGTAACGTAGAGATAAAAATATCTTCTTTAGAGGATTACTGTAAGATTTAATTGTGATGATGTATGTACAGTATATCAAATAAAAAACAGCTGCTTTTGTCTTAGTTACTAGCACGTTCTCAGTGTGGATGTCCAACATTAGTACAAATGAAGAAATTAAAATAAGAACACATTTCACACAAAAAAGACATAAATGATATTTCTTACAGTACTTTGTACCTAAAAATGCTTCAACATGGTTTATTCACAAAGGCTATATTCAGAAGGAGGGAAGGGAGGAGGGAGGAAAGAAGAAAGGAAGGAAGGAAAGAGGCAGGGAGGGAGGAGGAGAGTGAGGTAGTAAAGAAGGGAAGAAGGGACATTGATGAGTGAGTAAATGGAGAAATGAGTAAAGATTGATCTTAGAAATTTGATGCAAGAAATTTAGACCTTTAAATTCATACATATTAAATGATGATGCTGTCATATAAAAATAATGATAAATGGAATGTTTTGGCCTGGATAATCTCATATATTATTTTATTTGTAGCTTAAGTTACATGATATCAGGAGCTACAAATTCATTAAAATTGATTTGCAAATCTTCAATTAATGACCTTGGTTATTTGTCAATAAGAGAGGAAGAGGTTGGATAAGCCCAAGTAAATTAACCTTTCATCCGTACGCTGCCAACTCCGTCCGCAGTGACAGGCAATCAAGACTGTTTGGCAGGAGCAGCGCGTTGTTTAGCTTCTCAGCTCTCTTGCTGCTAAAATATGATGTCAGATAATTTGTTCTTGTTCAGGTCGAGCTTGATTGCTTCTGGTTCCTTGAGATCTGAATTGATGAAGTTTTACTTTAGTTACAAGGCAGTGTTAATAAATGCTGTCATGTTTATTAATGAGACGCCGAACTTGCATTGTTACATTTAGAGGACACAGTCAAGATCATGTAACTTAAAGTTGTTGAATGTGATAAAAGGTTAATTAAACTTCATGACCTGCTTGGAATATGTCTTCAGTCTCCACGCCGATATAACTTTGAGTGCAAAATGTCAAAACCCAAAAAGGGATAAAGAGAAAAATTTCACTCCTTAAATAACATTTTTGTAAGTACTGACATCCTTTCTAGCAATCCTGAGTACAGCTGAGATGTGACCGAATCTGTGTGATGGGGCAGGTAACTGCAGCAGTCTTACCTATTGGAGAATGTGAAGGGATGGGTATGGAGGGAAGGGCAGGAAAGGGGAGGCTGGCTCTGTCTCTCTCCCCTCACCACTCAGCAGTGAATGAGAACTACACCTCACTCATCCTGAGTACCATAGCACCATGGCCTCCAGAGGAAGGATACGAAGGTACGCAGGACTACGAGATAACTCAAGAAGAGTGAGGGTACCCGATTCCAAAGTTAATTGGGGACACAGTTTATTGTTAGGCTTCTTACTTAGCATAAACAACGACCTGAGTTCAACCCCTGACACCATTATATAGATGGCAGTAAACTGCAGCATAATTGTGGGGTGCAAATTGTTTGGATTGTACTAATCAGGTGGGCTGGAATGAGAAGGTCCTTCACCATGGATACGTTTGTCCTTTATCTGGCGTTCCCAGGCTGTCACAGAGTTAGTTGATGTGTGTGGGCTTCAGTAGGCTTGTGGTGATATTGCTCTAAATTTAAATCCCTCAAACATAAGGGCTTGTTAATCAAGAAGTCAGGCGTGCATGCATGTGACTGGGTAATGAGAAGAGATGGAGCGGCAGCTTCCTTGGCCTCCTGCTGAGGGTATATCAATCCCAACGGCCCAGGATGCATTCATCCCACATAAGGCTTTGAGTCCTTCTTTAATAGTATGGGGTGTTCTGCATTTTAAGAGACAAAATAGAAAATTAAGGGCATTACTGCAAGCAGACTAACAGCAAGACATATGCTTCCTGCTACATTCTGCAAGATGCCTGTGAATTTACAACAGCCAGTCAGCCTCCTGTAAGAAGTTTGCCATCAGCCTGAAGTGACAATATTCTGTCAGCAAGGGTGGCTATGGCTGAAGTGTTGGAAACACTGAAGCAGCATAGGCAGCAGCATGTACGCAGCATAGCCCAGCGGCTCCTTTCCTGACAGCCTGCCTGGTGGATGTGGTGTTTCAGTCTGAGGCAACTGTGAACAGTACCAATGGGCAGGGAGTAGCTGCAGTGTGAAGCTACTGCTTGCTTCCAGGTATGAGGGGAAAGTCTGAACAGTCCATGATTTAGCAGGGTCCTATTTTAACTTATGATAGCCTTATTTTGCAATCTGCATGGCAGCTGTGTGGGTTCTAAAGCTGTGGCCTTTACCTCCAGAGTGAAATCAGCCTCGCCATTGTTAATGTCTTACAAAGTGGGACAATTCCGTTAAAGATTATGCCTTAGGGGAGCTGGGGATTTAGCTCAGTGGCATAAGCGCCTGCCTTGCAAGCAGGCAGTTGTGAGTTTGATCCCTGGTACCGATAAAAAGGAAAAAGACCAAAAAAAAAAAAAAAAAAAAAAAGATTCTGCCTTAGGCAAGTTAGCAGCAGGGTGCCAACAAGGTTCTAGTGGTCTATCATGTGGATAGTCCAAGAAAATTTTAATTTACAAAACATGGAGTCTTTTAGAAGTGATAAGATTCATTTTCTGACCCAGAATATCGTCTATCTTGGTAGAAGTTCACTTTAAATAATATGCATTCTTTCATTGGGTAAAGTTTACTTGAGTGCTGTTAAGCCAGTTCGATTGCAGTGTTGCTTGGATCCTCTATATCCTTGTCAATTTTCTGTGTATTTTGATTTTTATTGAAATAACCATTAAAATCTTCAACAATAGTTATAGGCTTCTCTTTTCCTTTTCCCTCTAGTTCTAGTATTTTTGCTGTCTGATATAGTTATGTATATGTTTAAAATTGCTATATTTTTGTAAGGTCATTATTTAATGTGTGCCTGTTATTCAAAATAATATTTTTGTTCTTAATGCACATTTTCTGATCTTAACAGTGCTGTGTACGTGTATATACATTTGCACACATGTGTATGACTGACATTTTCTATGTTTAATATTTTCTGAAATTTTGGATTAATGTAGGAGAAGTTACCTGATTAATTTTTGAAGAATAGTAACTGATTAATTTTGGAAAAGTTTCAATGACAAACCTTTGATGTATTCCTTTTTTTCTGTTCTATAACTTCTCTTTGCGGTTATAAGGACATTAGGAAATTTGATTTTATCTCTCAGCTCTTAGATGATACTTTTTTTTTCATGGTTCTGTATTTTTTTGTGTTTAGTACAGGGTAATTTCTATTGAAATCTTCAAATTCACTAATTATTTCCTTGGCTTTGACAAATCGCCTGATAAATCTATTCGTGATTATCTTTTTTTTTTTTTTTTTTTTTTTTTTTTTTTACTGTGCATTTTATTTTGAAGGTTTTTGGTATTTTCTGTCTCCTAGTTGTCATTTCTCTTTTGAACTTTCATCTGTTCATCTATGTTGCTTCCTTTTCCAGGAAAATAACTAACACAGTTATCACAGTTATTTTAAATTATTAGTCTGATGTTTCAAATGCTTTGATGATGTCTGAATCTAGTTATGTGTATCCCTTGTCTCTTGCTATTGTGCTACTTTTTAAAGTTCTTTAGCTGCCTTGAAACATTTGGTGAAAGCTGATGACTATAGGAGAGTAGGGCCTGAGGTAGCTGGTATTATTGTAATCTTGTGTGCACTGTGGGTTGGTTGGCAGGAGGTTTCTGATTTTCTTTTCCATTTTTTCCTTCCTCCGCTGTGCTTATGTCTCAGAGAGGGTGCTTCTCCCTGTCCTTGGTATTGTCCCAGCAGTATCATGCCCCTGCTTCTTGGTGAACATCTGTTAGTTAGGTGATGAGGCTGGGTAGAGGAGCAGGCTCTCTAGTTCTGGGGTCTCCCTGAGAGGATCCTAGCAGTGACTCCACATCTCCCACAGCACTCAGGACTTTGCTGTCTAGCACCAGGATATGTTTATGCCCTTTCTCCATCTAGAAGCCTCTACAGTCTTGCTCCCTTTCCTGAGCTGTGGTGGCGGTTTACCTACGCCCTAAGCATAGCGAGGCTGCTGTGTACAGTTGTCTTCTGTGGGAGAGACGCAGGCAGAGTCCAGCTAGGGCTTGGTGTCTGTCCTTCTCAGACTCCCTCAGAAGAGCATTTGGCAGGCTCTCACCTTGCTCCCAATCTTTCTTTGAGTCACTGTTGATGTTCATACAGATGCGGTTGTGTGCTGCTGCAAATTCTCAGTGTGCTTGTTTGCACTTTCATGCTAGTCTGTATTCGGCTGTCTGTAATGTGACTAGCTATATTTTCTCTTACAGCTTACCTGACATACAGTGTCTGACTTCTGCCCCTGTTGAACAAGAGCTGGCTTTCCAAGGGCCCCACAGGCGCTGTCTTCTACCACATTGTTAACCTCAGGACTCTGCCTTCCCAATGGACCAATGGATGCTGAAGAATTTGTGATTTTGCAGGTTATTAACTTTATTTTTGTTATGAGGGTGGGACTGATTCTCTTTCCACATTTTAAGAGAAATCTAGGAGTCAGAATCTTCAAAATGTGAACTGTTTCCTGAGTCCCTGCAAAAGCTGACTTTATGGATATAACATTAGAACACTGTAAAGGTCCTCTAAGTATTGTGCCCTGGATCGAGAATGCATTCCAGCACTTCAGGGACCACTTCATTCCACGTTTTTCCTAATGACTTGCTTTTCTGCATTTCTTGGGTACCATAATGGAAGAAGACATCACTTTGTAAAACTTCCACTTCCATGAAACTCTGGGAATGGATTGCTCAATGCTGTAGTGGCAGTTCTGGTGAGGTGTTGGTATTTAATTATATTGCACAGAAAACAGAGAGCCAAACAGTACTTGTGACATTATTGCACTTCTTGGTAAATAAAACCAGAGCAAAATACATGGTCTACCAGAGGATTCATGCTACCCTTTAAATTATTTGATGAGAAGACTAGCATTTTTAAATTAGAGTAAATATACATGGGGATCTACACATCTTGTAGCCCCTTCTTTGAGATTCAGAAGAGTGTCTCTCATTAAGAACTCCAGTATCCACCCCTCACCACCTGCAACCCCACTGACGCACACACAATACAGTATACATCAAGTCCGAGCTTGTACTGGGCAGTAGCATTCTCCTAATCCAACCTAAAAAAAATAATTATCTCAGTCTCTGAAATTCAGAATTGCAATGCAGGAATCCTTCATAACTAATCGCCAGTCCTGAATCTGGGAGTATATATGTTATATTTCCACTAGAAGAAATAAGTAGTATAGTTAATTAACAGACACTATCATTTTCCCTTATGTTCATTTAAAAGAGAATTTGTTTCTGATCCTTAAAAAAAATCCAAAGATGATACTTTTCTCTGCAGTAATGCCCTCAGTTGTAACCTCAGTGTTAGGAATCATGCTCAATCAGTTGCTGTGTATGTGAAAAGAAAAAAGAAATCGAGTTTAACTACTTTTCTTGAAATCTTTAGTGTTGTTAAAAATAAGAATTTGGAAGTAGAAAGAGAAAAATCCTTTGAAAGAAAGTGTAACAGATCATTCACAGCACTGTTGTTTTCTCACTTTATTTGTCCAGATTTCTGAACCCTCAGCACCCTCCTCTCAGAGCACTCCCTGGTCTCTGAAAAAAGCGCTGAGCTGAGATTATTTAAGTCCCTTTTTCCTCCACTCACCTCTCACATTCTGGAGGCAGCAACAATGGGCTGTGATTGAAATCTTCCCAGGCAACATGAACGATTACCAGGCACAATGACAATGTGCATAATGGGCACGAAAGAGACATTGTTAAAGTTTCAGGTGATTTGAATTGAGATGTTAACTCTAATCATCTGCTTTTATAAGAAATTTGTTTGAATCTTTTTGTTTGCTTTTTAGTCCCCCCCAGTAAATGCTGTTTTCTTTTTATTATTGTCTAAGCTTTATGAGTTGTGATTTGTGTGTGTTGAATTTAATTTATTTCTGTGGTACACTGCACTTCTAAAACTCTGAGTAAAAACGGAACTCAGGGTATAAGATGCATGTTCTGCAGTGCAGTCCCCCACCCACACTGGCAAAGTTCACCAAAGGGAGTTTACTGATACGCACCTACATTTTGATGCCATGTTTAGTTAGGGAGGGCAATTCTTACTCTTTATGGTACACCTCATATTATGTAGTTTGTATTTGTGGCATCAGTATTCTACTAAGATGACTGACTTGGAGCAATGTAACAGCAAAATCACTCCAGCTTTTTGAACTTATCTGTGTACAGATAAGCAGAAGAGATAAAAGGCAGACATGGCAAGCAAAGCACATTACTTGTCTCCAATGAAACAATACTGTTTCCCTCTACTTTGAAGTTTGTAGAGGTAACCATCTAACCAGCAAATGGAGTCCATGGAATCTAGAGCATAAAGTTTTCTTGGTCATTCAAAGACTAGGAGAGACAATCTTTAGAGGATTTCTAATAAAGCAGTTTTACTAGAGAGACAGCCAACTGTAGACCTCTATCTGTTGTGAGTGCATGCATGTGTGTCTGTGGGTGTGTGCATGTGTGTTCGTGTGTGTGTGTGTGTGCATGTGTGAAAGAGAGGGACAGCAAGAGTGAAAGCAAGAGAGAGAGAGAGAGAGAGAGAGAGAGATCCATTAAAAAATTGGATTCAGAAAGATGTCTCTATTTTTTTCAGATCTGCTTTAGGAAAATAAACTCTTCCCAGTACAGAGTCTCAGCTTGCAGGAATCTTATGTGTCAGTAGCTCTACTTTTTTATTATAAAATGAGAAGATTAAAAAAAAAATCAAGACAAAGTAAAAGGAGAGTAACAATAATTAATACACTGCATATTGGCATCTTCAAAGTATTTACTAAGAGTATAAGGAGTACAAGATGCAGTCATGAAATCTTGTCCAAACAATATTAGCACAAACCTTTCTTTCAATGAGCATATATATAATTTCTCTTCCTTCTTTCCTCCTTTTTCCCGTTTTAACTTCAGGAATAGGTAGAAAATTGGGAAAGACAGTTCACTCACAGATGGTTCCTAACACAGGGAAAAAACAGAGAAAATTAGTGAACAATCACAAGCAAACACATACACACATCTTTTCTCCAAGTATTTCCAACTGTAATCTACATTTATAGCTTAATAAATAAGAGTAGTAAAGCAAATACAGACATTACAAGAAAGACAACCTGTATATCAATTGCTTTCATTATTAGAAGTGTAAAATTCATCAACAAAATGCTAATGAACTGATTTCAATGATGCGTAAAGGTAGCGGTTAATAACATATCAAAGTACATGCCATGGCCAGTGGGATATGCCAGGTTCATTCAACACTGAAAAACTGAATAAATCAGTCCAGGATATCAGAAGCTAAAGAAAACCAATGATCATGCAGATAGGTGAAGAAAGACAATTTGACAAAATCAAGATTCATTCATGATAAAAAAATTCAGAAAACTTGGACTGGATTAGAGCTTTCTAAGTTTGGCAAATATCATTGAAATATCAGCACATTTACTAGTGGAAAACTAAATACTTCCCCTTTAGTTTTAAATGAGGCAAGAAAGTCTCTGAACATGTGTTTTCCACATGCTATTATAACTCCTAGTTAATTAAGAAAATGATCATCTTTTGGTCAAGAAAGAACAAGTTAATATTTTTCTTCACAATGATATGAATTTTCATATAAAAATCTCAAAACAACAGCAACCACTTGGAATTAATAAGCATTTATAACAAGATTGCAAGTTACAAAATCATTGTACAAAGACAATTTCTTGTACTGACAGTTAGCCATTAGAATTTTGACCTACAAACACAGTCTCATTACCACTAGCATCATAAGTGATACAATAGTTTTATATAAAACTAATAAATGGAATCTGTGCAAGAGAATTCAAAAATGTATGATGAAAGAAGCAAAGAAAAATCTACATAAATGAAGAGATATTCCACGATTCTGGTCAGGTTAAATTCTACACAGTTAAAGTGTTAATTTTTCCCAGCCTGATCTATGAATTCAACCAAATCACAATCAAAATCTCAGCAAGTTATTTTGTGAGCATCCACAAACTGATTCTAAAGTTTGTACTGAAAGCCAAAAGACTCAGAAAAACCAACAATATCCTAATGAAGAGTGGGGCACTGATTCTACATAACTTTAGCGTATCTGTAACAATTGATACACTGTAAAGAAGAAATAAATAGATTAATGGAACAGAATGGAGTCAAAAGGGATTTTTAGGACACAGAAACTCTTCTGCATGAAATTGCATGGTGGATATGTAACTATGCATTATGTAACATCCACAGAGCTGTAAAAGAAAATACTTGTGACTTTCAGGCAATAATGAACTACTAATATCATTTCATTAATTGTAATCAGTGTATCACATTGACATATAATAATAATAATAGAAATTGGAGTGGGAAGTTTTAGAAATCTCCACACTATCTTTTAAAATTTTTTAGTATGTTAGCTATAAAACGTGAGAGCATAAGTAAAAAATATGGGATTTGTGCCTAGCATTTCTTTTACCCTTCATAATCACTTTCCACTCACTCAAGTCTGGTCAGAGGACCCATTATCAAATTGACTTGCTCTTGTTTCAAATTCTGTTGTCTTTTCTAGAAGAGTTCATGATCCCTGTGGCCTAGGTTGTGCAGGAGTACCCCAGCTCCTGTCTGCTGTCTTTCTGTCTCCTACTCTATCTACTACACTAAACTTTGGCAAAGTGGTCTTTGGTAAACAAAAATCTTCCTTGTCTTCTAGCTTGAGATAATTAATTTCACAAAGATCCACTAGAGCCACACTTGGCATTTTCTTCAGTCTTAAAATTCGGAATTTGTAATGCTAGACTGTTACCTTTGTCATTTTTTTTGGCTTGGTTTATCTTTTGTCCTCTAGGATTTAACTTAGATATTACACCATCCAGGAATCTCTGCTCCTTGCAAACCTGGGCTAAATATCTCTCTTTGAACTTCCTGTTTTCAACTCAGTATCTGCATTTGATCATAGGTTTGTGCAGTCAGAGTCATACCTACATTATGCGTTGGGGTCTTCCCAGAATCTGTAATGTAGTAAACCATCCATTACGTATATGCAAAAACCACTTAGAGTCAGCCCAAATAATGTTGCACAGTTAAATGAAAAAGTTTCGTAGATTGTATATAGGAATTGGAGTAAAAATCATATTTCTTCGATAACAGTTTTACTGAGTTATTATTCACATAATACAATTCACCAATTTAAATCTTCCATTCAATGCATTTTAGTAAATTTAGTTTTCCTTCAATCACAGGTGAAGTAACACAACTCCCCATTGGCTGTGTGAACCCAAGAGGAGTTCCAGACTGCACACACATTGTGTCTTCCTGTATGCCTGCAGGGTTGCTACGGAGTGTGACGATTATCTGCCCTTCCACATTTTAGCCTTCCTAACTCTTCTGCATCTCTACACTTGTGTTTGGGGCTATTGTTAAGCAAAGAATTCTGTGAACACAAGCACTGTTGTGTGCTGACAGCTTATCTGAAAACTGAGCAGGCTAATAGGTGAGTAGATTAGTGTGAACACTATATGAAAGGATAAGTATGATGTGTCTTGGAAAACATTGAATGATAGATGGAATACTTCACCAGAGTACCCACAGTCAAGTGCAATTTACAACTTGTGAATTTTGGGGGATTTGTTGTTTGCTTGTTTTTTTGTTTTTGTTTTTGTTTTTTGATTTTTGATTTTTTGGTACCGGATATCGAACCCATTTCCTTGCACTTGCCGGGTAGGTGCTTACGCTGCTGAGCTAAATCCCCAGCAAAACCTGTAAATATTTATGGATGTTTTAATTTAATATTTTCACACTGTCCTTAGTCACAGATAATGGAACATATCACTTGAAAACAGAAATCTGGACAAAGAGGGACTCCCTCTATTTTGAGTTATGTAACCATTTCAGCAATTCAACTAGAGATCAGTTTCCTCACCACGAATGAGAATGAAATCCCACAATCCTCAGCCATCACATTCCAATCTCCTCAGGATCCAGAGCTCAGGGAGTGACTAATCTACTACTTGTTCTCCATAGTTGGGCCTGTTCTAGACATTAAATACAAGTACAGTCATATAATATATGGATGGACTTTTATGTCAGACTTTTTCACAGTGTAATGTGTTTGCTAGGTTATCCATTATGTTTGAACAGATTTTGAAAATGAGTGATATATATTGAAAGTTTTCAACAATATCAGTAACCAACAAAGCCAGATACAACCTATTCCATTGTTCATATAATTGTAATTAACATAGTTGATGTTTATTTCATTAACAAATGCACCATGTATGTTTTATATGAGGAAGTTTAAGGTTTAACTCTGGTTATTGTGTAATTTTTTTCTTTAGCTGTCATTTGAGACTTTTCAAAAATGCTTTCTGGTTTATAAGTAAGATATACAGTTTCTTTCATTAAAGTATACTTTGGTATATCACAAAAAAGAGTATTGTCAAATAGGTTGTTTTCAACCTGCAAAAATATCTGCAATTATTGAAACTGACTATTTAAATGAACATTTCATGAATATTGTTTGACTAAATTTTACTTCCTTGTGGAGCATTTCAGCATGCTCCTGAAGGCATGAAGTCTGCTCTTCTTTGGCAAGATTTTGTATTACCTTCTTCCAAAACTTGGTGATAAAAACACAGGGCATAATTCTTAAATACTGATTGTCATGGTTACTTTTCTTTTGTTGTTGAGACAAAATAGTTGTGCAAAATGAAGGATTGAAAAATTTGTTCAACTTACAGTTTTTGGCGGTTTCAGTCCATACTCAGCTGGCTACAAGGCAGGCTGCTGTTGCTGAAGGGCAACTATTCAGTGGTGGCCCCAAGCAACAAGTGCAAAAAGGGTGAAAAGGAAGAGCCCACCGCCTTT